TCTCAATAAAATATGTTCATCAAGTGATATTGATAAACGAATTGATGATTTAGAAGACGAAAAAGTCAAAATAGAAGATATTTATAAAAAACTTTCAAAATTTCTTCATGCAAATGGAATAATTTCAATAAATGATGATATTTTACAGTATTATAAAGTTTTTCTAAAAGAAGAACAATTGAAAAACAAATTTGGTTGTCAAAATAATGATGTTATTGGAGGTTTTGAACAAATGATGCAAGATTATACAACAGAAATGAATTCATTTAAAGACACAATAAGAAATGAAAATGATTCATCAAATAGCAAAGATGTACTTGTAGCTGAAAATATATTTAATTTAGCTGGAACTCTTTATCGATTACCAATTAATGGAAAAAAGATTCGTGAACAAGTCGATTGTTTAAAAATAAGTCAAAATGATATTTCATCAAAACGAGAAGTTTTTGTTGAACTACCCATTAAAGCTAATTCATCAGCAATGATGCGTCAATTCGAAAATATTATTTCTAACAAATGAATTTCTTTTTACAATGAAATTTAGTATAGCAAGAAAAACTCGAACTAATTCTTTTATTCAAGAAATATAACTATCTAATAATCAATTTTTTTTTTCTTGAAATAATTATTATTGGTTTTTTTCTTTCAATGAGTAGTGACGAAAAGTCTCGTCGATTTTATCACGAGTCTCAAAGTAATATATTGCTTCTATGCTTTTCTAGGCAATGCTGACACACATCAAATCATATTCAGAATCTGAAGTTGTTCTCAAATTTTCATGTGGTCAATGTCTACACACCAATTACAATGTTTTACAGATATAATTTCGTAGAATGTTCCAAGATAAACTTATCTGGTTTTTTTATAGTAAATAATTTATATCGATGCTTGATAAAAGCTTAGACTTTCTTTTTGATTTTATACCAAAGAAAAAATGAGTATCAATATAAAATGATCTCAAATTTGAACATAGTTCCTTAAAAAACAAGTCTATTTTTGAAATCAAAGTCCATTATATATTAATGATATTTGATAAAAATTTAACATTTCGATGAAAAATTTTCATTGCTTAAGAATTATCAGTTGATTCCTGGTTAAAACCAGAACAATTTCTTTTTGTCTTAAGAGTCACGAATGAGTCAGAAGTGAATATGGAACAATATTATTTTTCAAATAAACATGATAAAAATTCTTCTAGAACTTCGTGCATATAAATCAAATCTCGATACTCAAAATCAAACTATGAAAAAGAAATAATAACAATAACAGACTTCATTCATACAATATTATCTTGAAACTCTTCTACTCAGAGTTCCAAAGACGAAAAAAATAGAGGTCTGATGCAAATGCTTGGTAAATGAAGGTTTTTCATGGTACTCTCCGATTTTGATGAAATATCGTCAATATATTAGGACAGAGAAGTTACCGCGAAAGTCAACGAATGGCTATTGGAGAAAAATCATAATCTCTTATCAAGTTTGATAAAGATTTTCGAGATTGAAGAATCTGAACCTAAGTAATCGAATTCTCGAAGTTTAAATTGAATATATTTATGAATAGAAGCGAATTTTGGAATGAGAATATTTCGACTACAGTATATGCATTGTTTCGATGGAAGTAATGAAAACTAAACACACCATACATATTGTTTACACACAGCTTCGATTGAGTGTCAAATTTATCGACATAAGCCACTTCGCTTGAATATAGCATTCAAGCAACTGTGCAACGGCATTGTTGAATACGTACTTGATAAGGATAACAATACACATGAGACAAACTGTTTGATGAGTGAATGGGGTATCATAAACATGATACGACTTGCAACAGGGGTATGGAATTGTTCAGATGGAAGTGACGAACTCGGCTGTTTTTAGAATACTCTTTTGTCCATTCATTGTAATCAAAGCGCACACTTTTTCTTAAATATTGACTATGGCCTTCAATCATGTTTACTTACATCAAAAGCCAACGATGGCACTATCTATGATTGTCATCAAGATTGCCGTGAAAATGATGATGAAACGATAGCATGCTTATGGTTAAATAATGGTCAAGAATCATTATGTGATAAAGATACTTTTCGATGTCATGATGGAAAATATTTCAAGTTTATCTCAGGAAAACATCACTTTAATAGTGATTACTTCAATTGTCAAGATGAATAAGACACGATATTTCGTGAATTATTTGATTTTATTCGTTTGCCAATCATTTATCTTATCCGAAATAGAAGAATATGCGAATGTGAGAAACAAAAGATTGGATTTGGTTTTTCTTGTCACAACTATCCACTACTTTTACTGCTTTTTATTGCAACTGTGGAGAGTATGTTCGTTCAATAGACGACCCACCTGGTTGTTTTTTGTTTTTGTCCAGATTATTATTATGATGAACGTTATGAATTTCAACGTAAAAGATTAACTGTTGTCCTTTCATTGCAAGTGACAAGTTCATTTACTAGATGCTATCATTGGTTCACATGTACATTTGACAGCCGTCAATATTTTTCAACAAACAACCATAATTCAAATTAGTATAGCTTTTATTAGTACTTTAGTCATAATTGGTACCATACTTAGCATTTTTGCAATATTTACATTTTCTCAAAAAGAAAAGACTCATGAAGTTGGTTTCAATTTCTACCTGTTGATATCAACCGTGTTTGGTCTTCTAAATGTGTTCGTACTCGTGTGTAAGTTGATTTTCTTGATAAACATTGAGCCGCGAAATATTCGTTGTTCACTTCTCGAATGTTTAATCGAATGGTTTTCGACAAGTTGTGAATGGGTAAATGCATGTGTAAGCATTGAACATTCAATAGCAGTTGTCAACCAAATTCATTTTTCTCGCTCGAAAACTATCAGTGTGGTCTTATTTATCGCTTTCGTTTGTTCATCCGAAATAATATTCCGTCAGATATTGATCAATACAGACGATCAACGAACGTAGTGTGTACTCACTCTCAATTCTAACCGAAGTATGCTTCTCATATTTTATTCAATCTCAAATATTATGTTGTTTGTTTCACCATTACAACAACATCACAGGCAATAAAACAGTGCGGGTGAGTTTTGTAAATACCATGTCAATGCTACCATTGAATGTTGTCAAAAAATATTTCGTAAAACATAACTATATACTAATTGCACTGATTATTCTCGGCATTTTTTCTTTACCTCGTCTTGCTCTTACTTTTATTTTTGTACGCACAAAGCTTAGTCGACGTCCATTTCTCAGTTTATTCTCTTATCTGGTCGACATTTTACCATCGATCTCTGTATTCTGTGTGGCGTTGGGTTTGGGATGTGCGTGTGGCTTTTGATCTTCTTGTTATTCACATCCAAACCTACAACCATAGCCAGATACATCCACACCCACATCAACACCCATACCAACAACCACCCACACCCACCGACACCCACCCACACCCATATCAACACCCACATCAACACCCATACCCACAACCACCCACACCCAGGCCCACACCCCACCCACAGCCACAGCCACACCCACCCACACCCACACTCACATCTCCCACACCTACCCACACAAACCCACACCCACATCCCACACCCACACCCACATCCCACACCCACACCCACACTCACACCCCACACCCACCCACACCCACACCCACACTCACACCCACACACACACTCACACCGACACACCCACATCCACACCCACACCCTCACCCACACCCTCACCCACACCCTCACCCACACCCACACATCCACACACCCACACCCACACCCACACCCACCCACACCCATCTGCGAACACAGTTTG